CCAGGAACTACATTTCCTTAAAACAGCCATTCTCAAATTTAGGCATGCACCAGAACTCCCAGACAGTTTGTTAAAACATAGCTTACTGGACTGCATCCTCAGGGTTTCTGTTTCAGTAAGCCTGGGGGTAGTGGAGTGCATGCCAGGGGTTAGGTGGGGAATTTGCATTTCTAAATAGTTCCCTGGTATTATAGATTGAATTGTGTGTTGTAAAACCTAACCCCTATACCCATGGATGCAATTTTATTTGGGAATAGAGTTTTCTTTATCATGTTAATGAGTCTGTAAGTAGAGGATATGCCTTAAATCAATCACTTTTGAGACATAAAAGGAGCAGATTAGATACAGAAACCAACAAGCATAGATGGGGGTAGCCAGTTGTCATGCTTCATGAAGATGGACAAACAAGAGAAGATCAGAAGCTCAAAAGAGACAGGGACTTTCCCCCAGAGCAACATAGAGAGAAACCTTTGCCTGGAGCTGGTACTCTGAATTTGGCCTTTTAGCCTCCTAACTGTGAGAGAATAAGTCTGTTTGTTAAAGCCACCCCTGTTGTAGTACTTCTGTTATAGCAGCACTAGATAACTAAGACACTAGATATTGCCTAACTGCTGCTCCCAGGATGAGAGTTTAACAACTCTCATTTCCCCAGAGCTATTGCTTTGGAAATGCTATTATTTCTTCTTGGAATGCCTTTTCCTTCATAATATCTACTCAAATCATGCCCAAACCTCATTGTTGTTGAGTGGAAGCCCAAGTCTTCTCCTTCTTCACCCTGCTGTCTGATAATTCTATACTTATTCCCAGGGACAGTTCTAATGAAAAGTCAGAAAATCCACTGAGGAAGGAGGATAGTGGAGTGCATGCCAGATTCTCATTGTGCCTTGTACTCACAGGCAGTCTCTCCTCTTCTTTTTTCCTTCCAAATCAACACAGGGAAGTGAAAAGCACAAACCTTTGGCCAACTCTCCCTCTAGAGCTCTTCTCAGCCCTAGCCCTCAGCTCCTCTCTCAGCTTTGGGGGCTCTATTTTCTGTAGTGCTGGGGTGTGTCTCATGGGAGTGGTCAATTCTAACATTCAGGATTTGAGTTTAGTAAAAAGTGAGAAGGGAGTACATGACAGTGTAGCCTAGGTTTCTAGAATTCTACACTGGGATATAGGGTCAAATTCTTAGCTAAAAATTAAATATCACTGTTTTCCTTTGAAAAGTTGATATTTCCCTCAGTAGGATCCGGCATTCCTGAGTGCCCTAGAAAAATTAACACATTGATGGCACCTACATTCAGGGTTCAAGTGTGCCATAAGCTATAGACCATTCCCAAAGCTGTTTCTTATATACAGGAAGCAGACCACATCCCTAAAGCAGCTACTCAGCTACTTATGGTAGATCCCACCATGGAGTTAACTGCCAGTTTCATCATGGGGAATATCTACCACAAGTTGCCCAGACACTCAACCAGGCCCAGCCAAGCTGACATACAACCTTAACTACCACACCAGTCCATGTCAGTTTACTAATGCCTAGGATATCGATCCTTATGCATTCCATTTCACTTACAAGTTCCAATTTTCTTATATTCACACTTCGTAATTCTATGTTCTGATTATTAATAAATGTTTGCAGCTGTTTCTTCTCACTTTGAATCATGCCCCATCAGGAAATGAAAGTCACAAAAGCTTTATTCCATCCTTGTCATTAAGGTTGCCTCTACTTTGAGGAAGGACCTCTGGTGGCATAGTACATAAGGCATTTGACTGCTGACCAGAAGGCTGGCAGTTCAAACCCACCAGCCACTCCTTGGAAGGAAGATTGGGCAATCTACTGCCATAGTGATACCACTTTGGAAACTCAAAGAGGGCGCTATGAGTCAGATCCAACTTGACGGCAGTGAGTTTGGTTTTTTGCTTTTCTACTTTGAGGACGTAGTTCATCCCCAGTCATGTTTTGAGTGCATTCCAACTTGAGGGGCTCATCCTCTGGCACTATATCAGACAACATTTCACTGCTATTCATAAGGTTTTCAGTGACCAATTTTTTTAGAAGTGGATGGCTCCATCCTTCCTTCCAGTCTGTCTTAGTCTGGAAGCTACGCTGAAACCTGTCCACCATAGGTGACACTGCTAATATTTGAAATATCAGTGACATAGGTTCCAGCATCACTGCAACACATAAGCCACCACAACAAGACAAACTGACTTTACACAACAACCACTAATGCCTAAGATGAAGAAACTGAAGATTATTATCAACTTCTGCAGTCTGAAATTAAACAAACATTCAATCAAGATGTATTGATAATTACTGATGATTGGGATGCAAAAGTTGAAGCATCAGTAGTTGCAAAATATGACCTTGGTGATTTTTCTACAACATAAATGGTGACTATACACGTGGGCCCTGCCAGAAGTAATAGACAGGAATCAAATTGACTACATCTGTGGAAAGATGCAATAACATCAGTCAAATGTCAAGACTGAGAATCTCAATAACATCAGTCAGAACAAGGCAAGGGGCTAATTATGGAACAGACCATCAACTGCTCATATGCAAGTTTAAGCTGAAGCTGAAGATAATTAAGACAATTCTACAAGAGCCAAAATATGACTTTGATCACATCCCAACTGAATTTAGAGACCATTGGAAGAATAGATTTGATGCACTGAACACCAATGACTGAAGACCAGAAGAGTTGTGGGATGACATCAAGAATATCATAAATGGAAAAAGCAAATAGTCACTAAAAAGGCAGAAAAGGAAGAAAAGACCAAAATGGATGTCAGAAGAGACTCTGAAACTTGCTCTTGAACAGAGACTAGCTAAAACAAATAGAAGAAATGATGAAATAAAAGAGCTGTTCAGAAGATTTCAAAGGGTGGCTCGAGAAGACAAATGTGCATTATAATGAAATGTGCAAAGGCCTGGAATCAGAAAACCAAAAGAGAAGACACATTCAGCATTTCTCAAGGTAAAAGAACTGAAGAAAACATTCAAGCCCCCAGTTGCAATACTGAAGGATTCTATGGTCAAAATACTGAATGATGCAGAAAGCATCAAAAGACAATGGAAGGAATATACAGAGTCACTGTATCCAAAAGAATTGGTCAATTTCAGGAGGGAGCATATGATCAAGAACCAATGGTACTGAAGAAAGAAGTTCAAGCTGCACTGAAGGAATTAGTGAAAAACAAGGCTCCAGGAATTGACAGAATACCCACTGAGATTTTTCAACAAACGCATGCAGCACTAGAGGTGCTCACTCTTTTATGCCAATAAATTTGGAAGACAGTTACCTGATCAACAACTGGAAAAGATTCATATTTGTGGCCATTCCAAAGAAAGATGATCCAGCAGAATGTAGAAATTATCAAATCGTATCATTAATATCAGGAGCTCTGGTAGCGTAGTGCCTAAGGCACTTGACTGCTAACCAGAAGGCTGGAGGTTCAAACCCACCAGCCACTCCTCGGAAGGAAGGTTGGGCAATCTACTTCTGTAGTGATACTGCCTCAGAAACCCAAGGAGGGGTCGCTATGAGTCGGGTCTGATTCGACGGCATATAACAACAACAACAATATCATTATATCACACACAAGTAAAATTTTGCTGAAAATAATTAAAAAATGGTTACACAATAGAATATTGGCAGAGGAGTGCCAGAAATTCAAGCCGTATTCAGAAGAGGGCATGGCACAAGGAGTATCATTGCTGACATCAGATGGATTGTGGCTGAAAACAGGGAATATCAGAAAGATGTTTACTTGTGTTTTATTGACTATGCAAAGGCATTTGATTGTTTGGACCATAACAAGTTATGGATAACATTGAGAAGAATGGGAATTCCAGAACACTTGATTGTGCTTAGGAGGAACCTGTACACAGACCAAAATGCAGTCATAAGAACAAAACAAGGGGATAGTGCATGGTTTAAAATCAGGAAAGATGTGATCAGGGTTGTATCCTTTCACCATACTTACTCAATCTGAGCAAATAATCTGAGAAGCTGGAGTATATGAAGAAGAATGTGGCATCAAGACTGGAGGAAGACTCATTAACAACTTGAGATATGCAGATGACACAACCTTGCTTGTTGAATTTGAAGAAGACTTAAAGTCCTTATTGATGAAGATTAAAGACTGCAGTATTCAGTAATGATTACACCTCAACATAAAGAAAAAAAATCTTCACAACTGGACCCATTAAAAAAAATCATGATAAATGGAGAAAAGATTGAAGTCAGAGATTTCACTTTACTTGGATCCACAATCAACACCCATTGAAGCAGCAGTCAAGAATCAGACAACACAATGTACTGGGCAAATCTACTGCAAAACCTCTTTAAAGTGTTAAAGAGCAAAGATGTCACTTTGAAGACCAAGGTGCACCTGACCCAAGCCATGGTATTTTCAGTAGCTTCACATGCATGTGAAAGCTGGACAATGAATAAGGAAGACGGCAGAACTGATATATTTGAACTGTGGTGCTGGTGAAGAATACTGAAAATACCATAGATTTCCAGAAGAACGAACAAAATCTGTCCTGGAAGAAGTGCAGCCAGGATGCTACTTACAAGCAAGAATGGCCAGACCTTGTCTCATCTACTTTGGTCAAGTGGTCAGAAGTGACCATTTCCTGGAGAAGGCTATCATGCTTGGTAAAGTGGAAGGTCAGAAAAAGGGCCAGACCCTGAATGAGTTGGACTAGCACAGCAGCAGGAACGATGGGCTCAAGCATTATCAAGGATTGTGAGGATGATGCAGGACCGGGCAATGTTTCATTCTGTTGTACACAGGGTCACTATATGAGTTGGAGCCAATGTGGTGGCAGTTAACAACAACAGCAGCAAAACTAACCTTGGGAAACAATGCAGAAATTAAATTCAAGTTCTTAATGATTTTCTTTCTTGGAGCTATGACCCCTAGTTAACACATGTTACCAAAGTAAAACAAAATAGTAATACACAGAGTTTTTTTAAAATAAGGGAACAAAACTGTCAACTTACCTTAGAATTAGTTGTAACATCACATCTTCACAATGTAAACCAATGAGAGTTCTGAACAAAGCCAGGGACACCACACAAAGCTGGGAAACAATAAACACATATTCTATTTCAAATATTGGAATGATAGCTCTACTTCCCATAGATGGTAAGTATAAATAAGAATCACAACATGAAATGGCTGGGTTTTTTTTTTGTTTTGTTTTTTTAGAAATTTTAATAAAAAGCATGATGCTGCCAGAGAGAATGTGGATTCAGGCTATCAGCTCTCCTATAGGATTCAATTAGACAAAGCCTATGCCTGGAATGATGCTATTTGCAGAATAATGCTTCTACAAAATGCATTTGCTCCTATTTCCAACTTTTACGGTTCAGACATACATGCCCTCCAATTCCCTAGAGCAAAAGGGGTGGGGAGAGAAAAAGGAGGACAGGGGAGACAGAGAACAGAGAGATGGAAGAAGACAGGAAAGAGAAGAGAAAGAGGAGACAGAGAAAGAAAAAGGAAGGAAAGGATCAGCTACTTTTATCATTTGTTTTCCCAAGTCATTTTCAAATATGACATTGGCCATTTACAAGACAGAGTTGACAGAAAACCACATATACTCTGGCCAACTCTCCCTTTATAGTTCTAAACCCCAAATCTCCTATCTAGGCTTTGAAGTAAACATTTTCTTTGTTCTATTTCCCATAATGCTGATGGTATGCTAATATACTTTTTTTTAAAAAAAAAATATATACATTAAAAACAAGAGTCCTTTCCATATCTGATTTCCCCAAAAGAAAAATAAATAGCCAAAAAGAAGAGATACCCAAAGTTGTGTTATAAAGTCACTATACCCTTTTGGGAGTAACCTCTTTTCAATGTGCCATGCCATGTAAGTAATTTAGGCTCTTGTCCTTTAGACAGGAGGATAAGTGTTAGCCTGTCTTTGAGGCAGAATGGGTCAAGGAGATTCTTAATGGTATCATGAAGAAATAGGTGTACTTGGCCTGCTCCAAAACATCTTTGTGCTCAGACCAGGCCATATGCTTGTAGTTAGCCAGAAGTCTCACACTCTGTCCCATCTCAAGTCCTTCCACATGCTGTTCTTTGCTTGGGATGTCTTTTTCTGCTTACTGGACAGGCTCCAAACCAAACCAAACTCACTGCAGTCGAGTTGATTTGACTCATAGCGACCCATCCTTGGGTATCCAAGGCAGTATCTCTACGAAAATAGATTGCCCCATCTTCCTTCTGAGGAGTGGCTGGTGGGTTAGGCATACCTTAGTCTTCAAAGAGACATCTTTGCTCTTCAGCACTTTAAAGAGGTCTTTTGCAGATTTGCCCAGTGCAGTAACACATATGATTTCTTGACTGCTGCTTCCATTGGTGTTGATTGTAGAACCAAGTAATGTGAAATCTTTGAAACATCAATCTTTTCTCTATTTATCGTGATGCTGCTTATTGGTCCAGTTGTGAGGACTTTTGCTTTCTTCATATTGAGGTACAATCCATAATGCAGACTGTAGTCTTCAACCTTCATCAGTAAATGCTTCAAGTCACCTTCACTTTCAGCAAGCAAGGTTGTGCTATCTGCATATTGCAGGTTGTTAATGAGTCTCCAATCCTGATGCCATGTTCTTCTTCACGTATTCCAGCTTATTGGGTTATTTGCTCAACATACAGACTGAATAAGTATGGTGAAAAGATATAACCCTGACACACTCCTTTCCTGATTTTAAACCATACACTATACCCTTGTTCAAAGAGTTCTGGTGTGTAGTGTCTAAGGCACTTGAATGCTAACCAGAAGGCTGGCGGTTCAAACCTACCAGCCACTCCTCGGAAGGAAGGTTGGGCAATCTACTTCCATAGTGATACTGCCTCAGAAACCCAAGGAGGGGTCGCTATGAGTCAGGTCCGACTCAACGGCATATAACAACAACAACATACCCTTGTTCTGTTTGAACAACAGCCTCCTGGTCTATGTACAGGTTCTTCAGGAGCACAATTAAGTGTTCTAGAATTCCCATTCTTGTCAATGTTAGCCATAATTTGTTATGATCAACAAATTGCTTTTGCATAGTCAATAAAACACAAATAAACATCTTTCTGATATTCTTTGCTTTCAGCCAAGATCCATCTGACATCAGCAATGATATTCCTCATTCCATGTCCTCTTCTGAATCCAGGTTGCATGTGTGGAAATTCTCTGTCAATATACTGCTGCAACCATTTTTGAATTATCTTCAGCAAGATTTTACTTGCGTGTGAGACTAATGACATTGTTCAATAATTTTCACACTGTTGGATCACCTTTCTTTGGAATGAGTACAAATGAGGCTCTCTTCCAGTCAGCTGGCCAGGTAGCTGTCTTCCAAATTTCCTGGCATAGACAAGTAAGTGCCTCTAATGCAGCAACTGTTTGTTGAAACATCTCAATGAGTGTTCTGTCAATTCCTGGAGCCTTGTTTTTTGTCAATCCCTTCAGTGTAGCTTTGACTTCTTCCTTCAATACTGTTGGCTCTTGATCATATGGCACCTCCTGAAATATGTGAACACAGAATCCTTCAATATTGCAACTCCAGGCTTGAAGTTTTCTCTTCTGTTCTTTTAGCTGGAGAAATGCCAAGCATGCTCTTCCCTTTTGATTTTCTAACTCTAGGACTTAGCACATTTCATTGTAATATTTTATTTTATCTTCTAGAGCTTCCTTTTAAAATTTCTGTTCAGAACTTTTATTTCATCATTTCTTCCATCAAGGTTGAATTTTGGCTCTCATGGACTTATTTTAACTTTCTTCAGCTTGAACTTAAATTGCATATGAGGACTAGATGGTTTGTTCCACAGTTGGCCCCAGACCTTGTTGCAACCCATGATATTGACTCTTTCTACGGATGTAATTTATTTGATTCCTGTGTATTCCATATGGTGAGGTCCATGTGTATAAAAAGGTATTTCTAATGAATAACTCATTGGTCTTGCAAAAGTCTACCCTGCAATCTCAGGTATCATTTCTATCACCAAGGCTCTATTTTCCAACTACCCATGCTGGTTCTTTGTTTCCAACTTTTGCATTCCAATCACCAGTAATTACCAATACAGCTAGATTCACGGTTCATTAATTTCAGACTGCAGAAGTTGGTAAAAATTTTCAACTTCTTCATTTTTGGCTTCAGTGGTTGGTATCTATATTTGAATAATAGTAGTATTAACTGGTCTTCCTTGTAGGTTTATGGATATTATGTTTTTACTGACAACACTCCAAAATAGATCTTGAAATGTTGTTTTGGATAATGAATGTGATGCCATTTTTCTTCAATGTGTCATTCTCAGCATAATAGAGTATATGAGTGTTGGAATCAAATAAGCAATACCAGTCCACTTCAGCTCACTAATGCCTAGGATTATCACTCTTTTTTTGTATTCCATTTCATTTGTGACAATTCCCATTTTCCTAGATTATACTTCGTACATTCCACTTTGCAATTATTGATGGATATTTACAGCTATTTCTTCTCATTTTGAGTCATGTCACATCAGCAAAGGAAGGTCCCCAAAACTTTACTCCATCCATGCCATTAAGGTCAACTCTACTTTGAGGAGGCAGTTCTTTTCCAATAGTATTTTGAGCACTCTCCAATCTAAGGGGCTCATCTTCTGGCACTATACTAGATAATGTTTCTCTGCTATTCATAAGGTTTTCAGTAGCCAGTGGTTTTTCAGAAGTTGACTGGCCATGTCCTTCCTCCTAGTCTGTTTTAGTGTAGAAGCTCTGCTGAAATCTGTCCACCAGGGTGACCATGTTGCTATTTGAAATACTGATACCATAGCTCTCAACCTTACAGCAACACACAAGCTACCACAGTACAACAAACTGACAGACAAGAGGTGGTCTTTGTGGGTAGTTTTACAATTACTAACTCAGTCTATTCACTTGTTAATAGATCTTTTCAGAATTTCTATTTGTTCTTAAATCAGTTTCAGGGGTTTATGTCTTTCTAGAATTTGTTCATTTCATCTCAATTATCAATTTTTGGCATACAGAGTTCACAGTATCCCAAATCATTTTCATTTCTGTAAGGTTGATAGGAATATTCTCTCTTTCATTTCTGAGTTTAGTAATTTTAGCCTTCTCTTTTTCTCTTGGTCTAGCTAAAGGTTTGTCAAATTTATTTTTCAAAGAACCAACTTCTGGTGTCATTGACTTTCTCCATTGCTTTCTATTCTTTATTTCATTAATTTCTACTCTAATCTTTATTATTACTTTCCTTCTGCTTGTTCTGATTTGCTCTTGTTTTTCCAGGACTTAAGGTAGAAGGATAAGTTCTAGATTTGAGATCTTTCACCTTTTTTAATAGAGGTTTTCATAGCTATAAACTTCTCTCCATGGCCTACTTTTGCTGCCTCCCGTAAGTTTTTCTATGCTGTGTCTTCTCATACCTCTCAAAGCATATTCTCATTTCCCTTGTGATTTCTTCTTTGACCTATTGGTCTTTAGGACTGTGTTGTTTGATTACAGTACCTATGTGAAATTCTCAAATGTCTTTTTGATATTAATTCCTAATTTCACTCCTTTGTGACCAGAGAACATACTTTGTATGATTTCAATAAATTTTTATTCAATCAAGTTTGTTTTACAGCCTAGTATATGGCCTGTCTTACAGAATATTCATGTATACTTGAAAAGACTATGCATTTCTGCAGTCAGTTAGTGTTACATAGATGTCTGTGAGGCCTATTAGGAGCTCTGATGGTGTAGTGTGTAAAGGCATTTGACTGCTAATCAGAAGGCTGGCAGTTCAAAACCACCAGCCATTCCTCGAAAGGAAGACTGGGCAATCTACTTCTGTAGTGATATTGCCTGGGAAACCCAAGGAGGGGTCACTATGAGTCGGATCTGACTTGACAGCTGTGAGAGGTAGACCTGTTGGTTTACAGTGTTGTTTAAAATCTTCCAATTTCTTGTTGATCTTCTGTCTAGTTCCTCTATTCATTATTAAAAGTAAAATATTGAAGTCTCCAAGAATTATTATTGAATTGTTTATTTCTCCCTTTAAGTTCTGTCAGTTTTTGCTTCATATATTTTGAGGCTCTGTT